TTGAAGGGGGATATAGCTGGTGATAATATCTGATGATAATTTTGGAGGGAAATGGGAATTCCCCCCCCCCCCAAAAAAAAGTCATTCATATCACCATTTAATGCCTACAGTCGAAACGATGGGTTTCCGTCGTGAGAGGGCGACGAACACATGCTACGAAGGGTATTTTGGGCATTTCGAGCGGTGTTTAAACGGAAGGTGGCCTGGGGATTCGTTTTGGGGGCTGGAAGAAAATCGGGGGCGGTTTTGGGGGTAAAAGGCACGTTGAAAAGGTCTTGGGGGGGCAGAGCACGTTCTGTGTTGTTTTGGGGGCTGGAAGCAATTTTCCCTTTTATTTTTATAAATGTCAAATGCGGATTTTACTGCTACAGCTAAAGATTCTTAAAACAATTAAGTAAAATGTACGGTAATCACATCATATTAAACAGTTTGAAAGACTTGAAGTCTTAATCTGTCAGCTAACTAGCAACGTGTCTGCTGTTAGTTTCTTCTAAAAACACATTGCAACCAAAAGTTATATACAATATAATTCTAATTTTAAGTTCTGCATGCTTTCATATTTCTTTTCCCTGGACTGGCCATCAGCCTTACGAAGCCTTAGCATAGATGAAAATGTTTTAATTTGCAATGATAAATGTTTTTTTTAATTTCAAAGGTACTTTTTTTTAAAATGGAAAGTTGAGAGAGATTTTTTTCTGCTAACTGCTAATTTCATATTTCAATTTTGTCCTAAATAAGTCATTCAGGAAGTTAAAAAGTGAAAGCCAAAAGAAAATTGAATTAATGAAAGGTTAGTGAACTTGAGTAAGGAGTAGTTTTTTTAGGGTTTTCTTTGTATCGAACAAAGTAAAAAAAAAAAACCTTTATTTGATGTAACTACTTGAGCCGTATGAGAGGGACTAGCCTTTGCGTTAGACACAACCTTTGACTGACCTCTGCATTCGACACAGCCCTCTGCGTTCGAGACAACCTTTGACGAAGACTGAAGCAACTTTGAAGGAGACAACAGCCGGAATTTTATAAATACAATTTCTTGAGCCTTGAGCCAGTCTCATCGCCCAACTTCAACTTCTTGAGCTAGTCCCACTGCCCAAGACTCGACAATTCATGGCGACCAGTCACGAGTCCCGTCACCCAACACGCACCCCTTCACATGGGCCGGGGGGCAAGCAATCAGTGGGTGGGTTGGGGGGCAAGCAATCTATGTGGCCTCTGCTTGGCCGGCAGTCGCCTGGTCCCAGGCGCCGTGCGTCCCAGGCGGCGCGGCACAGTCCCAGCAGCGGAGGCTGCGCGCCCGGGCCGCTGCGCGCGGTCCCAGGCAACCGGCCCTTGCGCCGTCCCAGGAGGCGGTCCGCGCTCCCAGGCGGCAGCGGCCTGCCCCACACGGCGATTGCGGCCGGAGAGCGCCGACGAAGGCTGGCGCTGCACTGCCGCCACCACGCTTGCTTGCTGCGCCAGAGGTTTTATTTTTGTGTAGGATTTCCACATTCTCCTCCTCACTAAGCCCTGAAATTTAAGTCATTGACTGGATAAGAATAAAGAAGGAACTCAATTATGATTTTATGTAGTATTATATAAATGTAAGTATGCACAAAAATTTCACTCATAAATCCAGTTTGATTTATAATAACAATGAGGTGCATAAAGGAACTGCACAAAAAATACAGGCAGAGAAAATAATAAGTTTCCAATGTGAATACTGTGAACCTGGATATTACAAACACCACAAGTTTTATAGAGATTATGACTAATTTATTTCAGACTACATGTTACACTAAATTTAAAAATTTTGTAATCTTCATATATAAGATATGTGCAACCATAGAGTGACAATTAAATAAAAAAGGGAATATACAATCTCCAATAAATAAAGTAAAGCTACTATCTCCGGTAAAGAAAGGAAATCCTTCTTTTTTTCCTTTTTTTTTTGGCCCTTTAAAAAAAGAGATCTACAATCTCCATAAAGCAATATTGACAAAGGATCTCCATGAAACATTAGATACTAAAGATGACCCTTACAGTGTCAAGACAAAATCTCCTTGGAGAAATATTAAGAGAGCTAAAGAAGCAACAAAACAATTGTTGTAGCCGATCGAAAATAACTTAAATGCTCACATTGCAAATTTTTAGTAAAGTTGCTTTAGCAGAAGCCCCATACAAAGATCCATTGTCGCATCTCTCAGGAACCGACGATGGAGGCTTAGGCAGTGATACATAAATAGCTTCCAGATCCACCATGTCTACTGTATTACCCGACTCTCTGAAAAACTAAAGAAAAAAACACTTGCATGCATCAGACGCTCAAACTTCGGATTAAGGAAAAGCTATCAGGCCTCTTTTAACAAACTCAACAAATATTACTTTCATGATTGGATCCCAAATTTTATGGCCTAAGGACTTAGTAACTGTTAGAATTAATATAAGATTATAATCTTCAACCCTCATTACAACTTTAGAGTTTTTGGCCCCAGAAAACGAGCATGGCATGATCTCATAGGAATTAGTTAATTTTTTTTTAATGTTGACTTACCATTTTATGAGCAACGATGTCCTTCACAGTGGCTCCTGCAAAGGTGACGACGGCATAAACAGAAAAAGTGACATTGCATCTCATGTTGCGTGGTGCTTTCCTTTGCTCTTCCATTAGAACTATATTTTTTAAAAAAATCTCAATTAATTAGAACTATAGCAAAAGGAGATCAAACAGGTAGAAAGTTTGTGAAATTTTACAAAACCCACCAATGGCTTCGCATGTGGATCGTGGTAAGAGGATTGCCATGGAAGGTCGAATGCTGTAGTCCACCCAATTCGTGGACGTCAACTAAAACAGGAGGAAAAATTAAACACACACAGAAAACATCAGTTAATTTTTATGTGTTTTCTGAATCTATATATCCAAAAAAAAAAAGAATCAAATTAGAATTACCTTCAAGGCAATGTGGTCATCAGTTTTGTTGGATATAAAGATAGAGCACGGTATCTGCTTCTTTAATTCGACTGATCAAACAAAAACTACGAGATTAAACGAGTAAATTGGGAATATAATTAACAAATAAGACCCCGGCCCAACATTGATCGAGATTAGAACGAAATGTACTTTACATGGGAATCGGAGTTGTGTTGGTTTAACCTCAATCAGCTTGCCGTTGGTGTATTTGGGATTAAGTGATCGAATATGAACAGATGTTGGGAAGACGCAAACAACCTGCAGTGTGACCTCGTCCACCTTATTATCTGCCTTCTGATCAGTGAACTGTAGGAAACCCAAATGCATGCGTCAGACCCTCGAACTCTGAACTCGATAAAATTAAAGCTTATTATCTAAACAAAATTAATTATTTTCATGAACGTTTCCCAAATTATATTGCATGTCGTTCTAATAAACTTCACACACAATCGAATTTATTCAGGCAACGCTACTCAATATTTAATACATTATAGTGAATAACAGTGTTATGATTATACTATACACAAATACTAGAAATTAATAAGAATAGTTGTAAATAGCATATAATTTGTTATTATTATTCTATGTTATAGTTAAAAAAAACTATAGTTATATATTATAATATTAAAGCATTATTTAATTTTTTATAAGCATCTAAATAAATTAATACTAAAAATATAATAAATACCCAAAACATAGAAATTACTCATGCAGTATTCTTTGCACCCAACACAGTTTATTAGTATTAGAATTTTACATCGGTACAATCATATATAGTTTTGTGCGCTCGAATGAAAAGAGTTAAAAAAAAAGGTATGTTCACGTGCAAAGTATGAGCATTATATATAGTAGATCAAAACAAACAAAGAAACGCACGCAACGCAAGTGAAAATGCCTTGTAAATCCGACTTAAAACGAACTTGATGCTACATAAAAATTTTGATTAAATTAATTACCCATTTGTCCGTGAAGTCATCAGGACCGGCTCCTGCGAAGGTGACGACGCT